TTCTAGTGGGGGAGAATTTTAACATCCGAAATCCCAAGTAAATCATTTTGATTATTTATTTTTGAAGTTCATAGAGAAACTCGACGAGTTGATGCTATGACTCATTGAGTCGAGTCGTGCGTGGTCATAAGGGTTTAATGACCTACTCAACGAGTCCAAGAGGCTACTCGCCGAGTAGGCGCTGGAATGAGAAACCCTAAATCCCCGGGTTTGGGACCAATTTAAGGCACTTATAGCCTCCTTGTGCGGCCACACTTCACAGAGAGAAACCCTAACCTACTCCTTTCGTTGTATATATATATATATATATATATATATATATATATATATATATATATATATATAGAGAGAGAGAGAGAGAGAGAGACCATTTTAAGCATTCTTGTGCATTTTGGAGGAAGGATTGGAAGAGCTTGGTGGATCTAACCGAACGAAGGCTGTGGATCTTGCATTCTTCTGTAATTAGCTGCTTTTCAGAGGTAAAAAGCTCTCATTTTGGCTTATATTCGTTAGATCTCATTTTTGGGAGCTTTTAGGGTTTCTCCCAAATTATATTGTGTTCTTGAGTTATTTGAGCATGTTTTGAGGTTAGAACCTCAGATCTGGACTAGAGAAGGCCTTGAAAGTCCAAAGATTCGAGCTTTATTGAGCTGGAGGCAAGCTCCTGTGCATTTAACCTTTCTTCGAGCTTCTAATGGCATTATGGAGCAAATATGCCATGCATGAACGTAAAGATCGAAGCTTTACGTGACATTCGAGCCTAGGGAGTCTAGATCTAGTATTTGGAGTGATAGATCTGCCCTAAAACGTTTGAATGGGAGTATGGAATGGATGAACTCGCCGAGTCCATGAGCAGACTCGACGAGTCGCTTAGGGTTTATTCCGATAGGTCTGGACATGCTGTAACTCGTCGAGTTAGCCGGTCAACTCGACGAGTAGAGTGGGTTTTCTTAAGGCCTCCGAGGGAACGAGGGGACTCGACGAGTCCTCCTGATGCACTCGTCGAGTTGGGTCAACATGGACTGTTGACTCAAGTTTGACTTTGGTTGACTTTTAGAGTCCTGACCAAATGTGAGTAACTGAGATCTTGGAGGGGTAAAATGGTCTTTTACCCTTACCAAGAGTGAAAAGGGGTTAATATGAATTTATTAGAATTGTGATCTAATTAGAGATAATCACCACATGTATTAGGCGGAGGCTAGATCGGTGATTCGTGTACGAGGTGTATTAGCTTGCTTGCTTCGAGGTCAGTCATCTCACTATACATTACCTAGAGTGGTATTTATGTGTGACCAGAGGGTCGTATGTGCTTACTTGAGTTATGTATTTTGTTGTGTGATATTTATGATATATTATGTGATACTTAGACCGGGCGGAGGGTCCAACGAACTATGAGGCCGGAGGGTCCTCACTTAGACCAGACCAGAGGGTCCAACGAGCTGTGGGACTGGAGGGTCCCACTGAGACACATTGACCGGAGGGTCATCCAGAGCTATAGCCTCGAGTGGCTAATTATTTGTGCGTGGTATTTTAGGGAACTCACTAAGCTTTATGCTTACCGTGTTATGTGTTATGTGTTTCAGGTACTTCCGAGGATCGCGGGAAGGCACCGGGGTGATTGTACACACCTGTTCGAGATTACGTTGAGGATTCTGGGAATTGTCTTTTGTTGTGGATTTATGTTGACATTGAGACACTTATGATTTTCATGAAATAGAATATATGAGTTTTATATGTTTTAAAAATGAAAATTTTGGTTGAAAAATTACATCGTTATAGTGACTTTTATCGATGATTTCTCAATGAAGACCTGGGTGTATTTTCTGAAGACAAAGGACGAATATGAAGTGTTTGGGTGGTTCAAGGAGTGGAAGACTATGGTTGAAAAACAGACCGGGAACCAAGTTAGGTCACTCAGAACGAAAAGGGGTTGGAGTTTTAAAAGTCTTCGTTTAAAAACTTCTGAAAAATAGAAGGTACAGTGAGGCATTACACTGTACAAAGAGGAGAGGTGGAACAAATGAACCAAACACTGGTGGAGCATGCTCAGTGCATGCAATTATTTGTTGATTTATTGGAACAATTCTGGGCGGAAGCAGTCAACACTGCTTGCTATTTGGTGAATAGATCTCTGATGCGACATTGGCTCCGACCACCTGCTCTGAAGATGTCCTGCTACGCCGGAGATAGATTTACAACAGACAAGGCCGTTAGAGCCGCCCCAGGGACTGTGCCCCGGGAGCGAGCTCCGACGGTTAAGTTAGATCATTCAGAAGATCTGAGATGACTCTCTTTAGCTAGAGAGAACCATCTTGGTGCTGGTAGTGGTGTATGGTGGCTGACGGCGGCGGGTGGCGGCTGAGCCACCCGGTCAGAGTATAGTATGGCGGTTGAGCCAAGGGGAAGAGATCCCACTCCATGGAGGATGTACTGTTCATTATATGGGGGACAATTAGGTCAAGGGGAATTAGGTCAGGCCTTGGGCCAACCTAATTCAGGCCCAGCTAGCAAGGAGCTGGGCGAGGCCGCCCAGAGGCGCCGGGCGGGGCTGGCGAGTGCGCATCAGGCAAGGCTGGCGGGCGCGCACCAGGAAAGGCTGGTAAGGGAGCACCCGGCCGGGCCAGCAGGAGAGTCCCCAGCGAGGCTGGCAAGGGAGTCCCCGGCAAGGCTGGCAAGGAGAGCCAGGCCAGGGAGCGCCAGGCCGGGCCGGCGGGGAGTCCCCAGCAGGGCTGGCGAGGGAGTACCCGACAAGGCTGGCGCGAGCGCACCAGGCAGGGCTGGCACGAGCGCACCAGGCAGGGCTGGCACGCTAGAATGGTCTAGTTCATGCTAATAGACCATACATCATCAAGTCCCCCCAGTCCGATGTTATTGGTATGCGGTCAATGACATTGGACTGTACTCAGTCATATAAACCATGTGTCATCAGGCTGGCAAGGGAGCTCCAAGTCGGGCCAACAGGAGAGTCCGCAGCGAGGCTAGCGAGGGAGCGCCAAGCCGGGCCAGCAGGAGAGTCCCCAGCAAGGCTGGCAAGGGAGCGCCAGGCCGGGATGGCACGCCAGAGCTGTCTAGGCCATGCTAATGGACCATATATCAACAAGTCCCCCCAGTCCGATGTTATTGGTATGCTGCCAATGACATTGGACTGGACCTAGTCAAATAAACTATGCGTCGTCAAGTCCCCCTAGTCCGATGCGATTGGGTTGCTGACAATCGGATCGGACTAGACAAAGCACCAATACATTAAATAGAGAGAACGACCGAACCTCGCCCACGAGAGTCGTGGTGTTGATGAGCGAAACATCACTTATGTGGCTTGAGTTGACTTGATACTCCTTCATTGAGAGGAGTGTGATCTGGTCGGTGTGATGCAACGTAACTGCTGTTGACAATGTTATGCAGAGTGAGGCTGCTAAGAAGTGTTGCGTGGAGCAGGGCTGCTATGCGACAATGAAGTCGGTATGACGTCGGGTCAAGGTAGCCATACAATCTTTAAGATTGTTATTCGGTGCAGATGGAATGTCACCAGTCTGATATGTCTCCAAAGTACACTATACTTAACTAGATTCCCCCCAGTTTGGTGTGGGTAGCGTAGGTAGCCAGATCAGGCTATGAAGAATAAGGCAAGGTTGCTATATCAATACACGACGAAGTTGTCGGCATAAAGAGTAGCTGTTGATATATGGTCCATTAGCATGGCCTAGACCTCTCTGGCGTGCCAGCCTTGCCCTGCTCTCCCTTGCTAGCCTTGCTGGAGTTCTCTCGCCGGCCCGGCCTGGCGCTCCCTGGCCTGGCTCTCCCTTGCCAGCCTTGCTGGGGACTCCCTTGCCAGCCTTGTTGGGGTTCTCCCGCCGGCCTGGCCTGGCGCTCCCTGGCCTTGCTGGGGACTCCCTTTCCAGCTTTGATTTGGGACTCTCCCACCGGCCCGACCTGACACTCCCTTGCCGGCCTTTCCTGGTGCACGCCCGCCAGACTTGCCTGGTGCGCGCCCACCAGCCTTGCCTGGTGCGCGCCCGCCAGCCTCACCCAACGCCTCCGGGCGGCCTCGCCCAGCTCCTTGCTAGCTGGGCCTGAATTGGGCTGGTCCAAGGCCTGACCTAATTCCCCTTGACCTAATTGTCCCCTATAAAGTGAACAGTATCTCCTCCATGGAGGGGGATCTTCCCCTTGGCTCAGCCGCCACACTATACTCCGGTCGGGTGGCTCAGCCGCCACCCGCCGCCGTCAGCCACCATACACCACCACCAGCACCAAGATGGTTCTCTCTAGCTAAAGAGAGCCATCTCATATCTACCAGATGATCTAACTTGACCGTCGGAGCCCGCTCCTGGGGCACAGTCCCTGGGGCGGCTCTAACGGCCTTGTCTGTTGTGACCTCGCAGATCCGTCTCCGGCGTAAAAGCACATCCTCAGAGCAGGTGGTCGGAGACGATGTCGCATCAGTAGCAAAAACTATTTGTCTGAGATGGATGTTGTCAAACCGATGAGCCGTATGTTTGTTGACCGAAATATAAGTAGCAGAGGTTGTAGGTAGGGGATGCGCAGCGAGACTATTGCCGAGAGCCAGACAACAAAGATGCTGAGGGATACAGGGCGAGGCTATAGGTAGGGGATTGTGCGGAAAGAGCTTCTTCAAGAGCCAGGAAACAGAGATGCTAAAAGGTAGTAGGTAGCAGGGGCGCTGTCGGGATAACCTTCTTGCTGGAGAGTAACCTCACTATAGCAGGTTGCAACGTGGAGAATGCTTCATCGATCGTTCGAGCACAAGGGAACCATGATGACTGTGAGAGAGGAAACACCGAGGGTGCGGTGTTAGGCGTGGAATAGGCTTGTGATGCGCGACTTATGATGCGCGACTTATGTTTCACGACTTAGAAGAGTAGCTTTGGCTTAGCAGTCAACAATCATGGAGATGTCATGCGGGAGAGCATCGCGTGGAACATATCGGGCTTAACTGCCCGCGATCATAGATACATCACGCAAGAGAGCATCGTGTGGGATCATGTAGGCAGAGGTTGAGGGCCTTTGAACCTCGTTGGCGGAGCATGCCGCTGATGGAGTCGAGCTGAGAAGCCAGACGACCCAAGGCGAGGGTGCTGAACCTCGCATGTGGAGCTTGCTGCTATAATGGAGTCGGGCTGAGAAGCCAGACGACTCAAGACGAGGGTGCTGAACCTCGCATGCGGAGATTTCTGAGAAGCCATGCGAATCAAGGCAAGGATGCCGAACCTCACATGCAGAGCTTGCCGCTGTAACAGAATCGGACCGAGAATCCAGACGACTCAAGGCGAGGGTATTGAACCTCGCATGTGGAGCTTGCCGCTATAATGGAGTCGGGCTGAGAAGCCAGACGACTCAAGATGAGGGTGCTGAACCTCGCATGCGGAGATTTCTGAGAAGCCATGCGAATCAAGTCAAGGATGCTGAACCTCGCATGCGGAGCTTGCCGCTGTAACAGAATCCGACCGAGAATCCAGATGAATCAAGGCGAGAGTATTGAACCTCGCATGCGAAGCTTGCCGCTATAATGGAGTCGGGCTGAGAAGCCAGACGACTCAAGGCGAGGGTATTGAACCTCGCATGCGGAGCTTGCTGCTATATTGGAGTCGGGCTGAGAAGCCAGACGACTCAAGACAAGGGTGCTGAACCTCGCATGCGGAGATTTTTGAGAAGCCATGCGAGTCAAGGCAAGGATGCTGAACCTCGCATGCGGAGCTTGCCGCTGTAACAGAATCGGGCAGAGAATCCAGACGACTCAAGGCGAGGGTATTGAACTTCGCATGTGGAGCTTGCCGCTATAATGGAGTCGGGATGAGAAGCCAGACGACTCAAGACGAGGGTGCTGAACCTCGCATGCGGAGCTTGCCGCTATAGTGGAGTCGGGCTAAGAAGCCAGGCGACTCAAGGTGATGGTACTGAACCTCACTTGCGGAGCTTGTCGCTATAGTGGAGTCGGGCTGAGAAGCCAGACGACTCAAGGCGAGGGTATTAAACCTTGCATGCGGAGCTTGCTGCTATAGTGGAGTCGGGCTGAGAAGCTAGGCGACTCAAGGCGATGGTACTGAACCTCGCATGCGGAGCTTGCCGCTATAATGGAGTCGGGCTGAGAATCCAGACGACTCAAGGCGAGGTTACTGACCCCCGCATGATTGGGCGCAACGACCGACAATCTATGTGTTTGGCCTAGGTGATCAGTCCAGGCTGAAGTGTAATGGCGCTTGATGCTCTACCGTATCATTAACTGTAGCGATGATTTATGCCTCGTCCTCTAATGGTATTATCGAGAGCTATGCAGCGATGCTACTTAGAGTTGGATAATGTAGCTGATGTCAAGTGGTGCATAGCGAGACTGTTGTCGAGAGCTGGTGAACAAGGCTGTTGAGAACTGAACATCGAGCTACTAACGATAAATGAGCAGCGCGACCACTGAGACTGGGGAACGGGACTACCGTGGGTTGAACCACGAGGCTACTCTTTCGATTCGGAATGTTAATGTCACCTCGGGAGTGCACTATCATGCGTAGCATCAGCTCTTCATGTATTTTAACTCTGCCCCTTCGGAATAAAAATCACTTATGCATAGTGCCGTACCAACCCTTCCTCCCCCCTTTTTTTCCTTAGAGAAGGAGAAGAGAGGGAATGATGGGTGCATGGATGCTGGAAATTAGCCAATGCAGCTGTTGAAAAAGCTAGGCGGCACAGGTGCTAGTAAAAACTGGGTAGCGCGGTTGCCGAGAGCTAGGCAGCACGACTACTGGGAGTCAGACTACGTGACTGCCGATGATTGGGCTTTGCGGCTGCTGAGCTGGGTCGCATGGCTGCGCGACTGTTGAGAGTCGAGCAGCGAGACTAGCGAGGGAATTTCAACATGAATGGTGAGAGCTGAGTAGCGAGACTGCTTGAAGTTAGTCAACACGGCTGCCGATAGCGGGGCAACATAGTTGCTGAGGGTTATTTCGAAATGCTTTACTAATAGTAGTAGTAGCAATGTACTACCTACTCTTCCCATTCCTTTTTTTAGGGGTGCCAAACGAACCCAACCGCAACACATCTTATGAAATTGGATTTTGCTAGGTCGAATCGTGGCAGGAAAGCATTGAGTATCTGACTGGCCAAAATTATTTTGCACTACTAGCCTATATTTTGTTGTTGGAGTAGCCCACAAAAGAAAGGACTTGAAAGGAGCCCAAAATAAGAATGTTTGAGCCCATTTTAGGTTATTGGCCCAAACTCTTTTCCTTGTTATTTATTTATTTGTTTATATATATTTTTTTTGGAAATGTCGAGTGGTCCGGGCCGTAACGCGTCTTTTAAAATTAGATTTTGTTGGACGTGATCTCAGCAGACGGGTACTACGGTTGACCATTAAAATTTGTCTTATGAGAGATATCCATTTTAATTGTTGAGCTGACCCATCAGCTTAAAAAACTGCTTAAAAAACTGATTTGAGAGAAACCCAACCGAATTGCTGGGCCCAAAATAAGATCTCAGTCCATTAATTCATTTGTGGGCCCACTTAGAAGATGACCAGCCCAATATAAATCTGCTGGAGACACTGTGAAAATATGGGCCAATGCCCTAATTTTCTTTATGTCGTTTATGTGAAACGAATTGATAGATGGGGCTAGTATGCGCTTCTTTGAGACGAAAGGTCATATCTGGAGGAAGATGGGTCACGAATGGTCTTGACATCGGAGTTCATGGCCTGAGGAGGAGATAGAAACTCGATTTAGTCGGCAACGCTAATTGGTCAGGTTGACAGGCGGTGGCGAGGTGGTGATGGCGGCGGTAAAAGTGATCAGCGATGGTTTGGTGAGTTCCGAAGGAATTCGTCACCGGTTGGAGGCCTGATAGCTAGAGGCAGCAACGGTACTATCTTACTGGGTCGCCGATGTTGAAGATGGCCAATGGTGATTGACGAGTAATTTCGCAGTAGTCGGAGGAGGAGTAGCGACCTTTGGTGGTCACGGAGGATGCGTCTTGGTAGTCAATCGACTGCACAGGCTTGAGGCCTGTTGGTTTAGGGAGCAACGTATTTGCTCCTGCTTCCAGTAGTAGTGCTTCTTCGAGGTTGCTCTGTTTCGTCACCAGCGAGGAAGGATTAGCTAGTGGTGTCGGGTATTCGTCCGATGACTGGAGGTAGTGGCGATGTCTTGCTGGGTCACCGACGATGAAAGCAACAGTTGACGCTGTGACATCCCTATTTTCACGGCCAGAAAAAACCAATTTTGTTTATGCTTTATAAAAATCAGAGTACCTCTTTTAATAAAAATGTTGCGGAATTTGTTCCCAGTAAAACATGATAAATACATTATCAAAGCATTTCCGAAGAAATGTATTTTTTATTCATTTTAAAACATTTGGGATGTCATCGTCAATACAGAAACATAAGCATAAACAGAACTTACATTCATTTACACTAGTGATCTACATCTCTTTAATCTCTCAGTATAATGTAACTTCATATCGACACCTGTGATACAAATAAACTGAGTGGGTCAGGTTGGGAAAGCTGGTGAGTACATAGGGTTTTCAACCTACAATAATGTAATTATTATGTTTAAGAAATCAAACAATCAACCCAATTACCCATCCCCATTATCTTCTTTACTCTTAAGGATCTACCCTAAGAATCAACTATTCCTCGTTAATTCATTCCTAAGGATCATCCTAAGGAATCAACACGAAGTCCATCGTTACCAGGGTTTATAGATTACAACTGGTGAACACGTAGTCCAAAACATCTGGTGAACACTTAGTTCTAAAATACCTAGTGAACACACTCAGTTCAAAAATATATAGTGAACACACTCAGTTCAAAAATACCTAGTGAACACACTCAGTTCAAAAATACCTAGTGAACACACTCAGTTCAAAAATATCTAGTGAACAGACTCAGTTCAAAAATACCTAGTGAACACACTCAGTTCAAAAATACCTAGTGAACACACTCAGTTCAAAAAATACCTATAGGTTACGAGCCTGCTAGCATTCCACTGGACTGTCTAGTGTAGTCCGTGGTCGTCATCTATACCCCACTAGATGACTGGATCATTGTCAACATTGATGTCTTTCATCGTGTTATCACACAGCAACTATTTCATCTACCCATGTTTTACCCAACATATTTGTAGATATAAAATACATATACAGTTTAAATCATTTAAAACTTGTATAAAAATTGTTCATCCAGCATAGACAGCAAGTATTCAGATAATATGCACACATAGCACGTAGTTTATATAAAATACTTCATATCTATGTGTAAGATGAAAGTAACTATGCACTCACTTGATTAGGTGGTGACTCGGTACTCGGACAACACTTCGTTACTCTTAACACAATTTTCCTCGGACAAAACCTAGTATCATTACCACTAGAGTTTAGTCTAATATTCACCGAGACAAATTAATAGTCTAGCTATTATTACTATTATATAAGCGTTAATCGGTACTTATATAACCCATAATAATAGCCCAAGTACTTATTATAAGGTCCTAATAACATTACTATATTAAAACATAAGCAATACTAAAGATAGATTAGGCATAGCTCACTTACAGCGAGTTTTTCTCAAAACCGGGCTTCGCTTGGAGCAGCGTTTCCGAACCGAAAGAACCTTTTTCTCGGGACTCCGGGAGCCTCGGGGCTTCCTTCGGGTGCTAGGGGGTTCCCTAGGGTTTAGGGGGGTTGGAATGGGTTAGAGAGAGAAAGATGTTAGAGAGAGAAGTGAGGATGGTGCAAGAAATGAGGCTGCCTCGGCCTCCTTTTATAGTTGCGAGAGGCCTCACTACGCGGGGCGTAGAACCGAAGTACGCAGCGCGTACATCCGAAGCCGTACCTACGTGTCGATAATCTGCTGGGGCGACGTGGGCGAAGCTGGACCGAGGAGGGGTTCGCGTACGCGGCGCGTTCCGAGCTTGGACACTAGGCGTATACGAGGGCTATGTGTTGCGATCCGAAGCGAGTTCTTTGATCAGCATCGAACGGCTGGGACTCGACCACGTCATCATCATTGCATCAGGCTTCGCAAATTGCACACGCAACTTTAAAAATTCGTCACTTTTACATACGAGCTCCGTCTTCGACGTTCTTTATATCCACGCGTAGGCGAGAACGTAATCTACAACTTTCGTTTAGACTCCGTCGGCTAATTTTGACTTTATTTTAAGAGTTATGTTTTTAACTGGCCGGGACAGGATTGGTCCGTTAAAAATTCATAACTTCTTCATCCGACGTTCGTTTTCGTCTGTCTTTTTATCGTTACGCTACTATTAACGAGATCTTCGATTCTCGTTTAGGTTATGTCGGCTAAAACCGGTCGATCTAATATTCAAACTTCGGGCTGTACACCGCTAAGTCGAAACTTCGAAAAATCATAACTTCTTCATACGAAGTCAGATT